CTCGATCCCAGGACCCTGGGATCATGACCTGAGCCGAAGGCAGACGCCCAACGACTGAGCCACCCAGGCGCCCCTCACATAGTTCTTTAACTGACCTGATCGCTAAGCCTTTAGAGGCTTTGCTCTGAATGCATGATGAGTATAGCTGATCAAGTGAGAAACTATTCTCTGGGCTACAGCAGCAAGTGACCAAAATAATTTCATCCCAGGGGTGAGACGAAAACAATCAAGGGTTTTCCCCCCAACCATTTTTGCTCAGCATTAATGTGGTATTCTCATGGCAGAAGATACTAAATTCATCATACAAACATTGCTCCAGTGGAACATTGGGGTTAGGCAATGTGGAAAGCCCAGCACAGCATAAATCTTTTGGATTTCAGTAACTCTGTCAGGTAAAAATTTTTTAGGCTCTCTTACTGAAAGTCCTTCTCAAAGACACTTATCCTATCTTCTCTCTTAGGAAAGTAGACCATGAGGGATATCTAGTCACTTAAAATTTGGAATAACTGAGGGCTGCCACATGAAACATTAGTATTTGCCATCATGAGATGTAAGAAAGGGATTGACACTCTCTTGACCCCAGGGTGGGACTGATGTTGTCTTTTTAAATAAATTCCTGATCTCTCTCTCTTTTTTTAAAAGATTTATTTATTTATTTGAGAGAGAAAGAAAGCACAGGGAGGGCCAGAGGGAGAGAAAGAGAATCTTGAAGCAGATTCCAGGCTGAGTGTGGAGCCGGTCGCAGGGCTCGATCCCAGGACCCTGAGATCATGACCTGAACCCAAACCAAGAGTCAGCCAGTCGACCAACTATACCACCCAGGCACCCCCTGATTTCTATTGTATAAAAGTCACATGATCAAGAATTCTTATTTATCTGGGGTAATTGGTCAGTTGAGTTCTGGTTACCATACAGTTTCCTAAGCATGTCCTTAAGAGACACATGATAGAATCATCACAAGGGCCCTGTGTCATTTCACAAAGGAGTCTGAAAACAAATTTATCTAAAGGTGCTTAAGCTGTATTAATAATTAGAATTGGCAATTTAAGGTAACAGTTAAGAAACTAAGATTTATTTATAAACCAAGGCTTATATTGTTATTTTACATGTAAGCAGAAAAATATCCCTGATTATATCCCAAAGTATAAAGTTGCAAACTTTCCTCAAAAACTTTCTCATCTGGCTTCAAGTTTTATCACCAGTAGGTACCTATCTAGCCCACATTAACTTAGTCCCTGGTCAAATCCTTAATTGTTCTTTTATCTTACGCCCTTGGCTTTTACTGAAAAATCATTAAAAGACTGCTAGTGAATTTCCTATAATTATTTTTCTATAAAATTATTATCTCCTATAAAAATGCTATAAGTAAATTGTCTTTTAGAGTTTAATTCCAGGACAAATTTCATTTTTTCTTGAGATAATAGCATGCATCTCTCTTTTAGGTTACCACTACTGTGTAGCTTATGATGTTCCCAGGTATCAGGAAATTCAGAAACAAACCTAATGTCCAATCAAAGAGGTCAAGTATATTTATTTTTCCTTCTTTTTTGTTCTAATTTTCTATTTTTATTTTATTTGCTAGAGTGTATACCTTTTGGTTGTTCTTCATATCATTTTGGAAATAAAGCAGAGCCTAAAAGTCGATAAGGAAGAATTAAAATAATAGAGTAAGAGAAAATGAATTGCAGGCAATCGAATCAAGTTGATAAAAAAAGGGAGGGCTGCAAAAAGCTTACCTGAGTTCCTGAGTTCCTCGACGCTAAACTGGTAGAGGAGGTCATACACGCCACCCAGGGAGCCAGAGGTGAAATAGTGAGTCCCAAAGTCATCGAATATCCGGCTATACAAAGCAAAGTTGTATTCTAGAGGCAGGTGGTTAAGTGCTTTCAAAAAGACATCAGAAAGCTGCAGATCTTTAGTTTTCATTGTGAAGTTTAAGACTTTTATCACTTTATGGATCCTAGTAAAACTAGAATCCTAAATGGAAGAGGAGAAAAGAAGAAAAAAAGAAAAGAAAAGAAAACCCAAGATGATTAAAGGTAATGAAGGTTTGAAGTGTCAAGCTTTTAAATGTCATCTGTTTATCACCAGCTTCATCCTAACCAGAGCGTGCTAACAACTTTAACTCTCCGTGGCATGCTCTCACACACAAAATTAGAATTTTTGTTGTATTTCCCAGGACTTTTTCCTGAGACGTTCACAGTGCTGAACAGATAAGATTATCTCAGGAACGTGAACTGTGTGACCGAGGCCTAGGTTTTGTAGACAGATCTACCAAAAAGAGATCAATGATTGGAAAAGTAAATCTTTCACTCTTGAGTGTCAATCATGATTGTGTCCCTACTGAGTGTTTATTTCGAAAGCCTTGCTAATGCAAAACATTGAAAAAGGATTGCACAGATTTTTAATTGAAAGCTATGCAACTGAGATTCAAGTCATGGCTTTGTCCCAAACTGGGAAAAGGCATTTATATTTCTGGGGCCTGAGGTGTCTGTGAAATGTCATCTGGGGCATGGGTGAGGGCTGTGCAGTGGGCGACACACCACACCGCTTTTCAACTCCAAAATGTTATGATTCAAAATTACGTAGGGTTAAAATTAAACAACATTATTTATATTCTCTCTCCTCTACCCATAAATAGGAATATCTGTGTGAGGGTTTTTGGGTTTTCTTTTTTTTTTTAATCATTTCTTGTTCTGTCAGGTTAATTTATGATTTGGTGGTTGGTATTACACCCAAATCTTATTCCATTAAATTGTCCTTCTATATATCCACTGAGTTTTATGAGTATACCCACATATACTGTTCTTTTAAAAAAATTTATATCCTTCATCTACCTCTCAATTTTAGCAAATTGTAGTGTTTGAGTAATAGCAGAGAGAGGAGCATATTTCAGCAAAAGAACTTTATCGTAGCTGTAAATTATTAAATAGCTATTTTCCTGTGTGCTATAATTACAGCATAAAATGGCTGCTAACACAAAAGACAAGAAATAATCACAAGGATTGAAAAGAGTCACCATTCACACTTCTCCTTCTCTCTTCCTTTCTCTCTCCCCTACCTTTTCCCACCCCTGTCCCCTTCTTGCCTTTAACACATTTATTGCTCAGCTACCTCAGATGCTGTGGAAACAGACGTGAACAAGGTAGACAAAGTTCATCCCTCTGAGGAGCTTACATTTTCAGTGTCCGTTAATTCTTTTTCAAGTTTAATACTTGAATTTTTAGAACCATGGCTTTGGAAAGATGGATGGATATTCTACTTTTAGTAAGAAGCACACTCACTTCCAGAGTATCTGAAATGCCTGTTTGGACACGGGCATTGAAATGGATGGCTCAAAATTTCCAGGTTGTTTACAAACTAAATTGTAAAAAATACAAGTAAAACCTTGGTAACTCAACTCAGCACATGTATACACACTGATCAAGTGCATGATGGCTAAAACTGGCTATTTTAGACTAAAAATGACATGACAGTAGGTTTTTAACTATGTATGATCTGTTTCAACATTCTGTGAGATTTTGCTTTATTTTCACCACCTTTTTGTGGGTTCAACGTCATAAAGTAATTCAGAAAAGCATTGAATCTTACCAAGAAAACTGGTATTTTGACTTTGAAATAGATTATCTGCCCAAAAAATGTTTAGTCAGATCTGAAATTGACATAATAAATAAATAAAGCATTAAGCTCCACTGAAGGACTTGGATTGATTTTCAAGTGTGGGGTGCCTTGTTTTCACTATTTGAAGACTAAGAAAGGTTGCAGCAGCATTTTTTACTTAACCTGAGATTTCCTTATTCTGTGGAGATCTGATCAAAAATGTTGGAGATCTGATCAAAAATGTTGAAGATCAACCTGATGAAGTTGACAATTTTGTAAGTAAAAAAATGGTTGTATATCAGCAGTTTCATAAGTTCCAACAGATACTGTGAATAGCCTAAAATGTTTCCACTTTGGGGCAGACTATTAGAGGGTCAAATAACAGCTGTTTATCCACAGATAAGGGTTTTATGAGTGATCTCTAGCATGTCTGAAATATTTATAAACCATTTTGTGAAGCAAATCTTAACACTGAAACTGATGTATATATCTATGTCTCTTTGAACATCTCCATTTCCCTGCTCATTATAGACTATATTTTTAAGCAGTTGTTTCCAATCCTGAATGTGACATTAGAGAAAGCTGGGGGACTTAAAAAAAAAACCAGAATCACATGCCCAACCACAGATATTCAGAATCAGTAAGTGAAGAGAAGGGCCATGGGATGTATATGTTTACTTCCTAGTAATTCTGATTCCAACTTGTTTTGAGCATATAATTTGCGGGGCAGGGGGAGAATGGGCTAAATGGGTGATGGGCATTAAGGAGGGCATATGTTGTGATGAGCATTGGATATTATATGTAAGTGATGACTCACTATATTCTACTCTCGAAGCCAATACTATACTATATGTTAACTAACTTGAATTTAAATGAAATCTTGGAAGAGAAAAAATACAATTTACATTACTCAACCATAAAAAAGAATGAAATCTTGCCATTTGCAATGACATGGAAGGAACTAGAAGAGTATAATGCTAAGTGAAATAAGTCAGTCAGAGAAAGACAAATACCATATGATTTCACTCATATGTGAAATTTAAAAAATGAAACAAATGAGCAAAGGGAAAAAAGAGACAAATTAAAAATCAGACTCTTAATTATAGAGAACAAACTTATGGTCATGGGGGTTGGGATGGGTAGGTGGGGGTGATGGGTGAAATGGGTGACAGGGATGAAGGAGGGCACTTGTGATGAGCACCGGGTAATGTATGGAAATGTTGAATCACTATATTGTACACCTGAAACAAATATAACAGTGTATGTTAACTAACCGGAATTAAAATAAAAACTTAAAAGGAAAAAGAATATAATTTGGTAAGTTTGAGCGACACTATGCTACCTATAGCCCATTCTAAAGCGCACTAATAATTTATGTTATAAAAGGAATCTATTTTATTCTCTCTTCTTTTATGTGTTCATATCACCAGAGCTTTACTCTTTTCACAGTTTGTTGAAATTATGGATAAATGAATGAATGAATAAACAGATAGCTTCAAGTGTAATGTAGTAGATACGAACAGTGGGCAAAAATCAGACAAACTGATTTCAATGCCCAACTCTGGCATTTACTCACTGTAAGATCACAGGAACCACCTAGCTTCATGGACTTTAGTGTAGTACTTAACACATGGTAGATACCAGATAAATATTTCTTGCATTAAAAATAAATGTATGGGCTTCAATTTACTCATCTGTAAAATGTTATTAAAAATATCTACTCTGATTCCCTCTTAGCGGTCTTTTGAAGATATATGAAATGCCTAGGAAAATTATCGATCAAGTGCTATAACATCTCTTATTTATGTAAGTGTATGAATGGGTGAATAAATAAAAATATGAGAGGCACTATGGTAAAGGCAGGAAGAACCACAAAATGGTGCCCTCCAGCTGCTGGTCCCATCTGCTCCAGTGTTGGCAACTCTCTTCACCTCTCCCCTCAGGTTCTATGATTCAGGGCTCAGTCTTCCCATTCATCTCTTTGGAAAGAACAAATAGTACACAGTGGTGGTTGTAGTGAGGAATAGATACTATTTTAAAAGAGATTTGTAAATCTCTAAAAATGTCTAATAGAAATCTATCCCCTTAATTGGAAAACATGTCCAGGAGTTTTCATATACGAATAATAAAAGAAAAAGGAACAGAAGAAGAAAGGTTAATGGATAAAGATGTATCTTTACATACTGAAAGAATTTCACTGGATCCTGGCAAGATTAATGGAAGAAGTCTAATACTTGGATACAACCTAAATTCTAAACAATAACAATAAAGTTATAAATTTCCAGACAGAGAAAATAAAAGAAAGAAAATCAGCTCTGCATGTGATTTTTCCTATGCAACAATGAAAAGTAGAAGATAGTGGAATAACATCCATCAACTACCAAGAAAAGAAGACTATGATCCAATATTCCTATATTTGGCCAAGATATTCCTTTATTGCTCAGGGAAAACGTAGGCATTTTAGATATATAAGGATTTAGGGAGTAAATGTATACACACACACACACACACACATATAATATAATATATAAAATATAACACAAATGTATAATATAGACTATGAACTTGGAATTTATAAGTGTTATGTGAGGAATCTTTAAACAGAGAAGACAAGAGTCAGAATAAAATACAAACTAACATGCGTAATATAAAAATGAACACAAAAGAATCCTAAGGAAGGGAACACAAAGGTTTTGAACTATCTTAGTAAAACTGAGGTTTTGGAGGCCTGTAATGATAGTGGTGGGGGGCCAGAAAGGTAGATACGTTCTCAAGGAGATAGTAGGGGTGAGGTATAGAGAAGTAAAACATCTTTTGGGGCCTATAGATATTAGCCCCCATCATGTGATAAAAGAAAAACATAGGTTTAATTATGCTTGTTAATTAAAGAAAGATAACCACAAGCAGAATTTAAAAGTTTAGTAGCACTTCCAAAATGACCAAAAGGACAAAAAGCAGTAAACAGAAACGTGACAAAGACAGCAAAAGTAAAGAAATAGGAAACAGCAAGAAAATAAAATGAGTAAGAAAAATTAAAAATGGAAGAAATATGATCAAGTATTTCAGTGGGTATATTAAATCAAAGAAGGCAAAATTTCCCTAGCAAAGGCCTGTCAGATTATGTTTAAAAAGCAAAGGTCTGTTACATGTGGTTTATAAAAAATACACCTAAAACAGTAAGACAAAGAAAACTTAAAGAGAACACAACCATAAATACAGCCAAATATATGCATCATTATATGTATTACCTCTATAACTTCTGAAATTGGATATAACAAGGTCAATCTATTTAAATTTGTGTTAGAAATCCTACTGATTTGATGTAAAAAAAACTCTCCCCTTCTCATTGCATGATTGCTGGACTTGGCATTAATTTTTCAAAAAGAATAAACAGATTGGGAACCATTTTGATTACCTTTCTGTGGGAGGCTTCAATGGCTTGTTTGAAGGCACGGTTATGGGTGGTGCTTTGAGTTTTCCTTGAGGAATAAAAAATTGGTATACGAAAACTGCTGTGCCCTTCCCTCGAAAATAAATCTTGTTGATTGTCTTTCTCTGTAAGACGAATTAAGTCCTTGTAGAAATCTGTTTCCAAATCATCTTCTTCAGTTTTTACCTGGAGAAAAATCCATATGAAATAAGACATAACTTAGGAAATATTAGAGCTACTTGTTAAGATCTAATGCAATGATCCTTCATGCCTTTATGCATTCAATAAATATTTGTTGAAGACCCACTTTGCTAGGTATAAAGGAAAAAGTTAGTCCCTGTCCTCAGGGAGTCAATAGCTTAGCTAGGGAGAAAAACAATCACCGACATTTAATTCAATGTGGGAAGTGTTGTGCTGCTAATGGGATTGGCATAAATAACCAGTAAAACCCAGAGGCCACTCCAGGTTAAGTCTTCATCAAGGAAACGACTCCTAAACTGAGACTGAACAGGGTCATAAGCAACAAGGGCTATTTTTAGTCTGCTTGTGAATTTGACGTTCTTTGCAACTAATTGAAGGTATCTTCCAGAAGACTGAGGCCTATAAAAGGGGAGGACAGATCCTGTCCTAGCCTGCCCTGGTTCCATTCCCACCCACTTAGCCTCCTCTAGATATTGGACATCGGCACTCTACTGGCTATGTCTGTGGGACAGACAAATAATCGATTGGTTCTGCCTGGCAAGTGGTTATCAGCCTTCACTGAAGGGGCCTGGGAAGAGGAGAAAAACAACCAGTGGAACTTGACTTGAACTAGGAGTGGAGCAGGATAAGTACAAGTTAAATCCCTGTTATGGTTATGCTGGTAAAAAGAGACAATGGATGAGTTAAAAAAAAAGAAGTTGCAAAGTAAATTTATTGAAGAGTACTTTATGTTAAAGATGCTTGTCTGGTTTGCAATGGGGAAATTTCTTGTTTTAAAATATTCAGTATTAAAATGCACTGTGAGGCAAACTGCATGCCACAGTCAAATAGCTTGTACGATCAGTGAAGGAAAGACAAAATAACCCAGCTGCAGAGGAGTCTTGCTCAACAGTAAGATACAGTCAAAAGTTCAGTGTTACTTTCAGATACTACAGTGCTAGTTAGCATTTAAAGGGCCCACAAACGAAGCTCCTCGGTTAGCAATGAAGCAATAGGATCATATTTAAGTATAGCTGCTGACATTTCGTTACCATTTCTCTAAAAAGCTCAAACTACAAATATTTTGTTTTATGAATTAGCTCTCACACAAGAAAAGCTGTGTCAGCTTAAAGGAAAAAAAATATTAGCATGGAAGGAAGAGGGCTCAGGTATCCTGGGCAGAAGCTCAGAGAAAATCTGCCCATGTATATTAACTTGGTGGAGGAACAGGTTTATGGGTGAGCAGGGCTGAAAAATTAGACTGAACTGGGAAACTGGGGCGGGGCCTTGCATGCCCTGAGAAAGTATTTGGATTGACATCTAAAGGAAGATTTTGCATGTAATAGGTTCCTTAAAAATACTAATTGAATGAAAAATCGAGAGTGTTGCCATCATTTTTGTGTTTTGCAAAGATCACGTTAACTAGAGTTAATAGAGTGGAGGCGAGGAGAGCGGTTACAAAAACTGTTGCAATAAGCCACATGAGACAGAATAATGGCCAGGTCCAGGGGAGTGGTGGTTGGATAGAGAGAAACCAGGGCATTTGAAAGATATTTAGGAAGTAAGTTCACAGAAGTTGTTGGCTGAGCAGATATGGGGAAGGGAGAGGGAGGGAGAGAGGGAAAGAGAGAGATGATGGGAATGCTGTTCCATGATAGAAAGCCAAGGCAACTTTTGAAAGTATAGATTTTCCCAGGAAGAGATGTTAACCAAACTCTGGGGAAACGGTTTTAATCCTCATTTACATATCATTACATACATCGCTGAGCCCATCCATCCTCACTGTCTGTAGATCCAGTGGGCTGATGACCTATGACTCGATGTGCGTTGACACTTTTACTTTTGGAGTTTAAAGAAAGGAGATGGGTTTGTAGAAAGGAGATAGAGGGACTGGGGGGTTGGAGAGGACTGGGTGGCACCTGGTTTCCTGTGCTGTGTGGGTTAGAGACACTACCTGAAGTTGTGGATTTCACAAGGGATTTGGGGAGGATTTGAGGGATTGCAGAGCTATGAAGGTTTTCATAGCTTTGGGTTGCAGCAAGAGGCCATGTCTAGGTAGGTCAGTGTCTTGCTAAGAATCAAAGTCTAGTGGTAACCACACTCTGCACTTTGCGGCTGACAGCAAATGCTTAGCACACAGCCAGAAGCAAAGCAGCACCGCCTAGAAAAAGAGAGGCGTATTCCTGAGTAAGTGGTACAACTCTGGGGGCTGATGCAGGAATCATATGGTGATTGAGCTCTGCAGTTAGCAGCTGGGGGATCCCTGAGGGGCGGAATTCTTCCTATGGTCTTCTAATCTGACTTCCTATCCAGTGCCTTCCTTCCCTTCCCTTCCTTTCAAGAGCCTCTCATCTTTCTGTACCAGCCAGCCCATTATTTCATCTGCCTTAATGAACTGCAATACTATAGGAGAAGGGAAGTCAGATGCCTGCTGAATTTCTCCTCCTCTGTTGTTTTCATTAAGGTACAGCTTAGATTTGCATGGCTGCCTGCTAACAGCATGAACAAAATAATATGGAGATCAGTGAAAAGTCAACCAGTCTCTTGTGACCTTGGATCTGGTTATTCACCTTCCTCAGCACTTGAATATTACCTAAAACTCAACAATATATAGTTAGAGATCAACTCAGGTAGCTTCTTACGGTTCGACTAATTTTGATCAACATTGATAATGAAAGGGGTCTCTTTTATTCTGAATGAGGATTTTTGGGCTGTATTTCCTGATCTACCTAGCCACCCAGACTTGGGTTACCAAGTTATGTGGGTGGATCCAGTGGTCTGCTAGTAAATGTTTACAAACCAATCTCTGGGAGGGGGATAACCTGTGATTTACTATAGCACTTGCCCTTGGTTATGGTGTATCTATTCCTACCATAGCTGATTCAAGCTACTTGTGTGGCGCCTTTTAATTCAAACTTGGAAAGAGATGTATGGTAGCAAATTTTTACAAAGCATTTTCGTAACATAGATACAATAGATGTAAGTAACCTCAAGCGCATAGATGGGAAAATGTAGCAAAATAACGGAGAATTGATAATTTTGAATAATTATCACCTATGTTTTTAGTATTTTTACTTAGTTAAAAGATTATATATTTAATATTTAGTAATGGCTATATTTATAAACTGGCTCGCAAAGTTCCTGAAAATTTAACAAGTGACTCTTGTAAGCTGGAAGAGCGAGCTCTAGCACCCCATTGGTGAATCTCGCAGGTAATACCTTTTAAACGACAGTTTAGGAAAGGCACGTGGGGCACGTGGGGCACGGTTGTTAATGTCTTTCTTGCTATTACTGTCAAGGTCTTATCTAGCTCAAGCAGCCCTGCAGCAGGAGCCAGGAGTTCTAATTCTGATGTGCCATTTACTTGTTGCATAACTCCGAGAAAGTTGTCTAACTTGGATCTTCCTTTGGTACGATGGATATAAACAATCTTCTATTTTTCTGGGAAGGTTGTTATGGGAATTGAGTAAAACAATATAAGCAAGTACTTTCAAAACTGTTAAGTATAAAATGTTTAGATAACAAATTTGCCCAAATTTGCCCTCATCCCATGAGCTGAGTTTAAGATGTTAAAGTTGTAAAACTATGTGAAATAGATGCTTGCTGAGAATATAGGCAGTATTTGGTGGGTTGGGGCGGGGGGGGGGGGGGGGGGTGGCAGGATTATTGTATTTTAAAATAAGTGTATGGGTTGGTTGTTTCGGTGCTAGAAGATATCCTCCAACATAACTGTATTATATGTAAATGTTTGGGTGTTAGCTCTGTCTCCAAAGTTTATTCAATACATCTCAAGAGTAATGCTATTATTGGCAGAATTACTATTTCTTTGGAACAATGTAATACTGAGTTCCTATTTAGCATACCAATGAGACCTTTTCCACCTCCCTTGGTGGTGGTGGGCCTCTGGAATTAGCATCTGGATCTGTGGGGAGATAGTGGGGAGTTTCTTTACTTGGTCAGAGGTCAATTATTACCCTTGTCACTTCTATCTGCAACACCTCCCAGAAGGTGTTTGAATCTGGCAGTTGGGCCCCAAGGGCATTCCCTATGCCCATTAATACATATTAGATGGCTTTAAATTGAGATGATCAAATTGGAAAACTGATTATATTTATATATATATATGTAAAAGGTTTTCTAAAGGAAGGATTGAATGACTTTTGCTGAAGTTATACTATTAATAAAGCAGTCTCAGAAATCATTGGACTCCCTGAAATTCTCTCTAGCATGTCAAATTTGTATGCCTGGATGTTACTATTAAAATCCTGTCTTTCCTGTTTCTCTTATCATAAATGGAAAGAAATCGATTGTTTACTTTAGTTGAACAATTTTGGAGCACTTATCGTGTGTAAGGCACTGGGCTAGATTTTGGGAGTATGTAGTATATCACTCATTACACTTAGGAAAACAAACAGAAAACCAAATCAACTAATCAAATAGGAAGAAAGGTAAGAAGTACTACCCTTGTAACCCTTAGCTTCATCTTGATGTTTTAAGAAGCTCTTTTACGTCTAACTATTGTGGTTACCTGAGAGAACTAGCTATGGTAGGAGGATATTTGGAATCAAGCAAACTATTTATCTGTGTGGGAGAAGGTACAGCTAAATGTTCACTGGAGAAAGCATGGACTCTGGAGTTTGGGAAACCTGACCTTGAATCTCTAATCCCTGACTTACAAACTGTTCGACTATGGGCAAATTGCTTACATTTGTTTTTTCATCTGTAAAGGGATGATAATCACACTGACCTCACTGGTTGTGGAAGGATTAAACAACAACCCATAATAGGTGATTTAAAATGCTCATTACCTTTGTATTCTGTCCCTTCATTCATCAATAATTTTTCATTGGAAATTTAGTTTATAATCACTATCAGCATTGGAGGGCCGCCAGGATAGGCTGTCATACCTCAAAGTTGACATTCTCCAAATTGGCTGGAACACGGTATGGATTACTTGCTTTACTGCTTTTGACAGTTTTACATATTCCTCCAGTGAAAGAGTTATCAAGGATCTCTCCTCTGGGCTCTCCTGCTAGAAAATGATACCTGCAAACAAAGTAATTTTCAAGAATTCAGTAGAGGTAGAGCAATCTTTAAAATTTACCATACTTATATGAAAGAAACTCCTGTCTTAGACATTTTTGACTCATGACAAATGACTTGAAGAAAAGCCCATTTTTTTCTAGCTTATGGTGAGGCAGCCGGAAAGGGCTGGAAGTCAAAACTCAGCCCCTCTGGCTCTGTTAGATTCTCCGTATTCCACTCACTTAATTGTTTTGGGTTTTCAGCATGAAATAAAATTTAGGTTTATTTTTATTTCATGACTTACCACACCAGTACAAACTTTGGAAGCAGATTATAAAATAAATTATTACATAATTAGTGCTATTCTGGGTTCACTTCCTTCAGTGTGATACAGTAAAGGAATTCTTATAGAGAGCTAATAATTAAATAGTAATAGCAGTATTTTAATAAAATTGTAATGATATTGTTTTTATTAATAACTAATATTTAAATTTATTTAACAAATGCTTACATACTGTTTACTATGTGTACTTTTATATAAATATTTAATATATGTATATTTATATACATTACATATGTATAATATATATATTTACTATCTGTATATATATAGTAAATATACACATATATTTATACATATATGCATATGTCACATTTATACATATACATATATCAAGCTGTCTGATCTATATTTAATGTTACTATTATAGTTATTTAATATTTATGATAACCATGTGATACAGTTATAGATACAATTATTTCACCTATTTTACAAATGATGAAACTGAAGGACATTAGCTTAGCACAAGTCAAATATTGAAGAAATTAT